AACTGGTGAATAGCTTCCCAGAGACACTAGCTCTGACTATGCAAAATGGCTTTTGACCAGCGTTTCAGGACGTCGTAATGGTCTATGGTACCTCGACGACCTCGTTGAGCTCGTACCGTGAACCATGTTTCCGTGGGAAAATCTTCTGATGTCGTCGGTGTAGAAAGCCCCTATGTAATTTTTTTAGAATAGAATGTGCTCTTCAATATGCAATTGAGCTCATTCGGTTTGGTTTTGGCAAAGTGTAATTAATTCTGTTTTGAATGTGAGTGAGAGTGACTCTTTTTTGGCTCCCTGTATTCACACGTTTAAATATTATATTCAAATTTCATAAACTTCTCACAGGGCTTTTTCGAAAACTGTACCACTCAGCTGAGAGATTGTAATGAAATGTCTGAAATACATCGTACCAGCCGAAACGAAGAAAGAGGTTTGGATGCTGGCAGGAAAGGGCACGATCGGATTAGTGTCTTCATCTGCAATACAGATTAAATAAGTGCAAGGAAACCTGGAACATGAAAGCATCTTGAAAAAAAACACCATGACGTACCTTTCCCTACTTCATACCAATCCGTAGTAGAGCCATTTTCCGATTCCGAGTCGGCTTTTTCAAGGAACTCTAGAATCTAATCATAAAACAGCGATATTCGCACCACTATATCAGTATGATCCCTGGCGGAGGAAGTGTAGTGGACAGGGATGCCGCTTAACAAGTACTTAGTTTCCAAGATAAGCTTTCCATACTTCACAGGTAATATGCAACAGAATTTTTTTGGGACTTGGAGCCTCCAATTTAAAAGTAGGTAGCAATGATGTTCGAATTGAATCACTGAAAACGGCCACCTTGAATGGTGTTGTCGTTCTGGAGCTACTACTACGTAGCAAGACCTATACGGTAAGTTGTAGCCGCTTCAATTCGACCCCCTGACATACTCCAAGCCACACCTAATATTTCAAAAAGTTAAGAAGAATATAGTTACATCAAAAGCGTAAAGGATAAAGCATTAGGCGTTTATCAATCCCTTTTTGGAATACGCCACGCATTATAATTTCATTCAGAATCGTAATGGCACTTTGAATGCCATTGCGACACAACGACTTGCGGAGGCCAGCCGATGTTCAAGTCCGTGTTTTGGAGCTTCCAGGCCGGCAACCGGCGGAGCTTCTAGGAGACAGCCTGATACCACTTACTCAACCGACAGAAGCGGAATCGTATAACTTCGTATAAATCCAATATGTGTCCTCTGAACGTGTCGGGAAGCAGCCGCCATTTCCACTTGCATCGCTCCCCTCTGACATTACCTACAGTGAGGTTCTTCAAAAAGCAGTTTGATATAACAATTGCACGATCACCAATTGAAATCGGATAAGAAAATATTAACACACAAATTTTCAGTATTAGACCAATTAAAAGAATCCTCCTCGGAAAATTCTTGCATACAGTGCAAGAAACGCTTAAGAACGTACCTGCTACTTCATCAGGGGTTGTGGTTCCCTTTGCGATTATCCAGCAAACAGCATATGCCACTAAACGTTAGAATATATTAACTGTTCATACAGAATGAAGTTACCACACACCACTTTTTCGTAATTAAGGGATATATAGCCAACCTTTAACCCTTTGTCGGCACTTCGATTTTTCACGAAGTGCCGTGTGAGATTGCGATTTTTTTTCATTTTCAAATAATGTACCATATTACTGGAGTGTGCCTACGGCAACAACTATGCCAGGAGGACTTACATACGGAAACTGTTAAGACATCGTTATTGGAAACCTTCGCGTACCGCCTTCAAACAAGGAGAAACCTCCTCGGTCGCAGGCTCTGAAATTTTCATTTCTTCACTTTATCCCTAATTACTCACGATATCCCTATTAAGAGTGATCCGTATATCTCTTTTGTTTTTTGCTTTTCTTGCCTTTCTCCTTTCAGTGCGCCAGCTAATAATAAAAGGAATGTCAGCTTCATAGTAGGTTTAGTCAAAACTATGTGCCAATTTGACTACGATTCCCAATTTCACAACTTTTTTATAATATAAAAAGGATATTTGGTAATTAATTTATTCATTAATTCTCCACGAATATGCAAGTGCGCGATTGCCCATCTCTCAAGATTACCCTGTTCTTTGATTGCAAAGAAATAACTACGTCGCGTTCGAGAAGTTTCCGATTCATCGTTATTTTTTCCGTTTACACCAAGCGAGAGCAGGTTGTCCTCCATTTGAATGAGTAGGGACTCTCGTGAATATACGGCGAGCAGGAAAACCATATAGTCGAGTTCCGTATAGCATTCTGACCTACGGCAGTAACATGCGGATTGCGAGTTGCCGTGCAATGGAACAATTTTATCAATTGAGAACCTCAACTTTGCGATATCCAAAGCAAGTAGTCGAGCGGGCTGTCGTCACTTGCACCTAGCTAAGAAGTATACCATCTGACTTATCGCTAGCTCAGTTCAAGCATCGGGTGGAAAAAATCTTGCTGAGATATGAAGTAATCTAGCGTCTTATGAGACTGATTATCATGAGTTTCAAGTGGTGCCTGAAATTTATTGATTTTATCTGTTCTTGTAGAAGTTTCGCGTTCGATTTAGCTTACTTGTTGTATTCGATTTCGTTTATCAAGCGATGCATTGTTTCTAACGTTTTCCTTTAGCGTACGTAATAAACATAAACGTAAACATAAGTCTACGCAGCTGCAAGGACTAGAGATCTGCACTAGCAGAGGTGATATCGGTTGAAGTCTGTAATGAAGCAATCCAAAAATCGGAAGAGCAGAGCTACTACTTCAAGTGAAGGTCACCTCTTGGATCTCGTTGCCACTGTTGGGTTACATGCCGCACTGTTGCCTCCGTATACTGCTCGAATATACTGCGCGCTACTTAATCCCAAAGACCTCTTGTCGAGCTGCTCGAAAATACGACTTCTAGAAAGCAGACTTTGGAAGTGAGTGCTCCGAGCAACCCTCATGTGAGAATTCCATCACTTCTACTTGTACGATATCCCTGTGGCTCAAAGGGCAGTACACACAGTCCTCTGGGAGGAATGGAAGTTCACTGCAGTTTGAGTGCTAGCCCAATGGTTGTATTCAAAAGGCTCTTGGAGCGCTCAGTAAGCGTCGCGGACGTGAATGATTTTCGAGGCTGCGTTCACCTTTGCGGAACATCCCGAACCACTTCATACAGCGGCAGCAAAGTGTGGGGAGTCCTGCCCATGGGAGGAGGTATTGACGAAAATCTTCTCCAACCTCTCACTTCCTTCGATTGATCCTACACGACAAAAACTCGCTTTGAGAGCGGACTGGCCCGTAATTGTGCATGGCACAACCCAGGACGAGAAGAGCAGTCAGTCTTCTTTATCTCACCTATAAGCAAGTTTTCGAAAAATTCGAAATTTTGCTTCAGACGGGATCTGATTTCGCTTCAATAGGCTCGATAAAACCACATAGTACTTGTTCAAGTTTTGAACATAATTACTATACGGAATGTACTAACCTAGAAAAGAAACGAAAGCGGTTGAAGACATTACACAGCGCGACTGCTTCAGGAGTAACCATAGGGAAATGACACGTGGACCATTTCGTCTCCAAGGAAGAAAAAGTGAATTATGCCTTCACATCAAGCCATTCGATTCAGACGTCCGTCCGCAAAAGGATGACAATCGTTCGATAATTCTCGAGGAAAAATGACAATGCAATGGTAAGATTAAAAGAAACTGGGGCCTCGACAGGAACGCAACACTAGTTGCCATATCAAAAGTTTTCTTTCAGTTTGCAATAAAATACTTTTTCTCGGCCTCAACCAGCTCAAATTCATCTCAGTTCAACCAAGAAACTTAACAACTCAAACATCAAATTTATTTGAAAACGCTATCAAATTTCAAAATACAACGTAAGCAAAGAGGAACGAACAGAATCCCGTTTGTTTGAGAACATCATAGAACCGGTACAAACTTACTACCACAATAAACAAATGGGTTGAAACATCATACATCAGACAGATAACTCATTTTGAAACAAAATTCGAAGTAAACAATCATCACTGTCATTAGGACTGAAGGCCACATCCATGTTATGCCAAGTTAGCTTGTATGTTTTGGAGGCACAGTACTACTGAGACCATGAGCAGGGCAATCTGGGCTGAGTGTAACTAGCTAATAAGTGAGAAATGTAACGCTCACATCGACGGTACTAACTGGGGGGTGTAGGTCAGAACAAAAGGGCTGCGATTCCGCGCAAAAGTTATGTACTACACTTTCTGGCGAAATATCTCGAACGGAGCTACCTGCCAACATACCGTGTTCTGCAAAATTTTGTTGACCGCTATGGCGTGAACCATGGGGTAATATATTGCCTTTAAATGGTCTACTCAACCAGTACTCAAATGTATAAAATGGGCTATTTATGCGTTGTCCAAATCTTGATAGTAAAGGCAGCGATTACGATAGTTCAAGAAGGGTTTAGAGGAGAGGCGGTGGTGCTCAATGGTACGCCGCTGGCAAAAAAGCATAAAATCCGTCCAGAGATCGCAAAACAGGTCCCCTTTCTTTGGATGTTGGTTTTCACTCATGACACTGTTGAGCTCAGAAAGCGGCCGTATGGACGAGTTCATAGTGACACCTTTGGTGGCACTATGCCAAACCACGTGTCAATCGAGATGCTCCTGTTGTGCCGCTGCTGGCAACGCAGCTCGTCCAAATCACCAAGTAAACTAGTGGGCGGATCGCTTTTGGGGCGGAGTGCTTTCGAAGTCCTGCTCAGCAACCAGCGCACCTTCGTTGTGAAAGCGCTACACCTCGCTTCCTGGCAGCCAAGTAACTAATTCCTGCGGTGCTATACGCTTCCCTGATGATGCCCATATGCTGCCTCTATATCGTAATCGCTGCCTTTAAAGGAAGTGGTCACGATATAGCTCAGGGAACGAATGGAAACCTTCATAATATTATAGATCGAGTAGGAAACCTACCCAATGAGCCGATAGTCCAGGTGCAGTGGCGCCATTATCAATAGCTTGATAAGGCGTCGGAACCCACTCTGGTATGCAGCACCACCTACGTATCGGACGTGGGAGAGGTTGTAATGGCAGCTACTTGATACGATATCGTCACCGTTCTCACCCAGTTTTCATTGTGGACTACAACTCATTCCAAGAAGCTCTATCTTCTGATTTATCGTGTCGCATCTTCCATGGGATTACGCTCGTACAGCTCAGCTCTTATGTCGAGTCTTTCGATTGATAACGCGTAGTCTGCAGCTTAACCCCAGAGCCAGCGCTATCTCTTCCTTTATAGGAAACAATTTTGCAAACTCCAAAAAAATGAGACTTCAGACGGACCCAAATCCAGATGCCCACCAAATTCATCGACGTCAAATCTACGATACAGCGGTTGAGCAGTTCATGAGTACCGAATGGGCACGCAGAGAGCACCCGTGCACAAAGTGATAAGGCTTAGGTAATTTTGGACACGGAACATCGCATTCCTTCGGTGCTCATAAAAACATACCAAAATGCTTTGCAAACCTAACAAAAAGTATCTTATGAAATAAGCTCTTCGGACCAATACTGGACATTTCCTACGATGACTTGTTCAAAGATAACGACTTTGATATGAGGCACGCTAGCGACTTACGCCTCTTCTTTGTTGGGGTCACCATCAATTACGAGTGGAACCAAGGTGGCAACTGTCACGCCCCAGAGCGGCAAATAGTAAGGACAAGTCATCGCAGGAAGTACTGCAAGGCTGAGATTTGTTAACAGTAACAACAACAGCTTTTGAACCCGTTTCTTCTTTCGTAGCACCTTGTTACCCAAAATTCCACTTTCAGCGTCACAATTCCGCTATATGCTCCAGTCTGTAGGCTTCAATATCCAGTCGATTAGCCAACGGCATATTACCGACGTGTTGAGCTACATATGACGCTAATTTTACATCATCGGCTATGAACGAGGAAAGGCACGGCGGTGAGCTGCTTATTTCCTGAAAAAGGGAGGATATATGGAAATTTATGCGCGACATGTGAGACATCTTCAAAGGAAGAGAAACCGCTGAGAAAAGATCATGATTTGGCATGAAGCAGAATTAAAGAGAACCCTGATTTTTTAGAAGAAGAAGGAGAGCAAAATTTTGAGCGACTCAACAACCCGGGCTCTTTTGGGTTGAATCGTGAAATCGTTGCAGGGGCGAGATTATCTCTACTGTGAGCAGAGCTTCTTCTGTTGTATTTGAAAACGGGTTCCTTTATGCAACAAAAAATCAACGTACCATATGAAGCGTCTTCAAGTATTGACGAATCGCGGGAGCGCTGTCAATCGTACGCCATCGTAGGTCACCAGGACCTCCAGGATGATTCGTCTGAATGAAACGATAACCACTTCGCAATTCTCCAAAAGGTGAATTAGACTAGAAGATGGTGCTAAGTAAATTATCAATAAGACCCTTAAAAGCTGTGAATTTCCTTGATTGTACATCGTATGAAGCTCAAAGGATTACTCCAGAAATCTTTGCATTCTTTCCCAACATGAACATATCAGTTGGGGTTGTGAACCCAAGACATCATCAGCTTAAAGAAAAACAAACTCAAAAAGACCACACCTGTGGCGAGTTGAGGTTAGGATGCGTGGCGCCAAAGGCGGCTGAAGTGCGCCTTGTTCCGGCCACGTATCAGGCGACGCATTGATAGGAGCCGGTTAGTGCGTTTAATTTCAAAGAATAGACACAAAACGATAGAGTAGGATGCAGTAGAAGTGTGAGATGTTAGTGCAATAAGTCAAAAGGCCAGAAAGAGTTTCTAGTGAGGCACTCCGTGAACCAAGTGGAAGCGTTCCCGTCGCCAGCATTTGTGACAGATGTCCGGCGGAATTGAACGCGTAGCAGTCCTTCCGGTTTTCGAATTTTTACCAAAACAAATGCAATTTTTTGTTCTTTTCGTTCTTATCGTGGACGATGGGTCTCAAGCCAGTGATTTATGGGTGAGATAGAATCATGATTTTTCCGGAAGGATTCCTTAAACATGCTATAACTAATTCTTTACGATTTTCATACCAATTTCATCCGCTCCAACTCCTTTGCCACCTTCGTGACTTTACAGCACGGTCGCTCTACGCGATGATCGAATATTTGTCTCAGGGTCCAGTCTTCTTGCTGAGCCAGTTCGTTGTCATCCAGGCAGCTGAAAACGACACATCCAATTTATTAAGTCTCAATACAACATCGAATGATAATACGATTCACACACTGCATTTATTATAGGAAGCGACTGCGCTGGCTCCCAGGTGGAGACGAATTTCACTCCTGACAAGTAAAGGACTCGAGACAAGAGCGAGATAGAGATTTTCCAGACGACTTAAGCTCGTCAAGGCAAGTCCTCTCGATATCAACAGCACGATGAAAAAGACCGAGTTAAAACAATCTCTACACGTCAACCAGAAGCCGCTACAACCCCTAGCACCCCAGAAACCTGGATGGTGGTAAAACGCGGAAGTTCGTTCCAGCACCTTATCACACCGCTGGTAAGGCGCCACTGCCCCTTAAGTGTCAACTATAGCTCGCTGAAAAGGACTAAGATTGTAATTTTCCAATTTCCCCCAGAGGATTTATCGCGACTACTGCCTTTGAGGGCACAACGCATTATGAAGCGGCTTGAATGAGCCCGTCCAGTAATCAGGGTGGAGCTCCCAACGAAGGTCGAAGACGTAATGCTATTGCTGCATCATATTGCGCAGGGAGTGCGCTAGAATCTGCTTACACTCCAATTAAGCCCCGCAGAACAAACATGCTCCTTTGGCAGGAACTGTGGCAACGTCATCATTCTCACTTCTCCCCTGGTTGCCTCGGCTCAAGCCGTTTTGTTCCTTATTTGCTTTCATTTGCTGGCATGATGTGTTGCAC